ATGGACACTGGGTGTTTCCCATCATTTGACTATTGTAAATGTCGCTGCTATGGATATTATTTTGCTATCATTTTGTTGAGAATGTTTGTATCTTTATTCATAACCGATATTGCTTTATAATTCTTTCCTTGTAATGTCTTTGTCTTATTTTGATATCAAGGTAATGTTACCCCATAAAATGAATTGGGAATATTCCCACCTCTTCTATTTTCTGGATGAGATTTTTGTAGAATTATTATTTCTTCCTTGACTGATTGGTGGAATTCACCAATGAAACTATCTGAGCCTAGAGTTTTCTTTGTTGGGTTTTTTAACTACAAATTCAATTTCCTTAATAGATACAAAGACTATTCAGGCTGGTTATTTCTTCTTGAGTGAATTTTTATGATTTCCATTTTTCACAAACACAAATTAGTTCATTTCATCTAAGTTATCAAATCTATGGCCACAAAGTAATTCACAGCATTCTTTTATCAACAGTGAATGTCTGCAGATAATCCTTCCTTTATTCCTGACATTTCTGATTTGCATCTTTTTCCCCTCTTAGTCTGGCCAGGGGCTTATTAGTTCATTGACTATTTTCAAAGAATCAGCTTTTGGTTTCCCTGAGTTTCTCTGCTGTTTTGTTTTCTATTTTGCTGACTTCTACTCTTCTTCATTTCTTCTGCTTGCTTTGGGTTTAATGTGCTCTTCTTTAATTTTCTTAAGAAGGAAGCTTGAATCAGTAGTTTGAGACCTTTATTCTTTTCTAATTACAATTTGGTGCTATAAATTCCCGTATATGGACAACTATAGTTGCATCTGATGTCATTTCCTTATTTTATGTATCAAATATCTTCTAATTCCTTTTCTGACTTGGTCTAAATTCCAAGCTTATGCCTGCAACGAAATCAAGCATCTTAGAAGAATTTCACTCTAATGCTGTTACTACACAGTAATATATCTGTTAATAAGTCTGTTACTACAGACAGTCCTGGCCCTGAAATCCATCATTGCTGCCCACAATTTAAGTATGGCAATGTATACGGGAAATATATTTCTACAGTATATTCCCATATAGTAAAATTGTATGTAGTTGTGAAATGGAAAACACAGTAAATAGATAATACCCATGAACAACATAAAAGAAGTGGTCAAATTCAGCTTTTTGTTAAGTTTTTATTTGATAAGTTCTCTAATAATGGATACAATAAATTATCAAATTTAAAAGGAAACTGCTTTATAAATTTTGGAGTGTACACTAAAAAGATTAAGTACTTCTTACAAATAAACTTTGCTCAAATGCATTATTCATTGCTAGCACTTTTACTGCTTCGGCCTGGGGTCCTGAAGTTGGTCTTTCTTCGTTCAATTGATGATTCCATTTCAAAATAGTCATGGAGCATGGGATATTACTTAAACTCTTTAGCCTCAGTATCCTCAGTTATTAAAAAAAAAAAAAAAAAAGAATGACAGCATTTCCAAGAAAAAGTTATGAGAATTAAATGAGATAACCCATATAAAGTCTTAATATAGTATCTGACAGACAGTAAATGCTTATTTAATGAAAGAAATTTTGCCCTAATTTTAATAGCTATCTTACTTTTAAAGCCTATTTAGGTCAAATCTCATTATAACTAAGTTTAAAGATTATAAGTCCTATTCTATAATAATCTATTTTAAGTTTGATCCAAATTCAAAGTTACTTATCGAAGATCTCTTCTTCTTTTGGCTAATTAAATGAAGAATTTGGGACTTCGTGTCTTTACTTTGCTCATTTAAATTTAACCAATTCAAGAAAAGAATAGTTATAGCTCTAGAACACTGATTTTTTTTTAATCTAGTAAGTCTCAAAAACTGTGAGAAAACTCACATGAACCGTGTGACTATACTTCCGTCTACGTGAAATGCTTGAATATAGCCTAGAATATACACAGACTGAAATGAAATACCAAGATCCTATAGAAAGGTTCTTGACTACACAGATCTGGAAGGGACAAGCTTCTTACAAAACTAGCCCTGCTGGAACTGGATGATGAACTAATCTGTACATCATCAGAGAATATGAAAACCAAATGCAATGATTATGAAAACCAAATAGAAAGTATTCAAATTATGAAAAACATTTAAGAGGCATCTGAGACCCTAACAAGCAGAGACTAAATAGTTTTTTACAAGCAAATAAAACAAAAACCAACCACTATGACTACAAAAAAATCAGTATCTGATACGAGAGGGGAAAAAAAAGAAAAATGAGCCCAGGAAAGACAACAGATCCATTCTCTTCTATTCTCTCTTGTTCAGCTGATTTTATTTCTCTTAAATGGAAATCATTAGAAACAAATGCACACTACACAGGCTGCTTACAAACTGCATTCATTTTTAGCAGTTGTAGGGTCTAGAGGGTGTGGAAAGGCCATAGCAGGGAATCAGAATTTGTGGCTTTGTATACATGTCTGTCACCTCACTGAGCCTCAGTTTTCTCATCTGCAAAAAGGCAGAGAAAATGTCTATCCTATAAGTTGTGACTTATATTGTGACTTCTAAAAAGAAATGAAAATATGGGAAAATGGACAAATGAAAATAGAACAGTGCTGTTTGACAGAAATACAACATAAAGCAGAAATGTGAGCCGCATATGTAATTTTAAATTAAAAAAATACAAAGAAGCAGGTGAAAGTAAGTTTAATATATTTTATTTGACCCAAGATATCCAAAATATTACCATTTCAACATGTCAATCAATATAAAATTAATGAGTTTTTTTACATTCTTTTCGTTTTTGTGTTAAGTATCTGGAGAAGGATATGTATTTTACATGTATAGCATAGAGCAATTCAGATTAGCCACATTTCAAAAGCTGCACAGCCACACATACTTACTGACCACCACACAGGACAGCACATGCCTAGGACTGAGGTGATGCTTAATGTATGTTCATTAGATCCAAATACACTTCCTATCAGATAATCTCTGTGGGATTTAGGAAAGTTGTTTACAAAATCAATACATTAGAAACATTTTATATATTTTTGGTATAGTAATATATAAT